ATTGAAAGAAATTATATAATTATGTTTTCAATATCTAACTTAAACACCTTTTGAAACATATGATTACATGTGTTTGCCCAACAAAACATATTACATATACGATTTGCACTTACTTTTAACGGAAACATACTGTAACATGTCAAATAATTATAAAGCGTAATAGCAAAGAAAAAATTATGAATATTTGATACACACACTTTTATAATTATAATTTCACGGACTTATTCAAACTTTCATAAACGTACCTCTCTGATAAACGTTTGATACCACTCTTTTAGCTCTTTCTCGCCAAACATGTTTTGAGCCTTCTTAAAGCGTTTATCGGCGTTAAGCATTTCCATAATGTCCTTAATTCCCTCATGGATTTTTATTAAACATTGTGTCTCGTCTGATTCGTGTTCATTTTAAAGTAAAGCAAATAAATTAGTTTTATCATCGGTTAAGTACATTGCATTAAATAGGACATGTTACATGGGTGTGCTATTCTCATAATGTTTCGCCCTAATTTTCGTTATTTTCGCAATTAATTAATTAATATATAGATATATCATCATATATTTGAAAAATGTACCATTTGTTGTCCTTCGGGAAAAACACATTTAAATTGCTTTCCTTGTATCATAGTTAAGATTGAGACATTCATCATTAAATGTCACTCGCTATTCTCACTAATTGATATTTCACAACATTTCAGGTCTTGGTGATTTTTGCTATGCCAACAACTAGATGTATCAGCTTTAAACTCGGTTCATTATTTTGATTTTCTGGGCTTAAATTTTATATTGTTTATTAGATTTACGTCTTTTTCATTACTAATTCCTAAATGATAGCTTAATTTCTCCGAATCTACGGTTGACGCCGCTTATACGTCTACACCTGTGGCGAAAATACAGGGTCGGTCAGGTTACTGGAACCACAATATCATTTTGTTTTGGCATAATCTCGCGTGAATGAGTCTCGCGAGAATTGTCTTTGTTTTAAACATGAACGAATATTAGTATAATATAATTATTTTATAATAATTATTTGAAACAAAAAGAAGAAAAAACGTGATAAAATAATTCAAAATGAAAAACATATACTTTTTATTAAGACACGTGACTAAAGTTTTCGCTAAAGAAAAACAACATCCAATGAAAATGCGTTATTTACACCACGTGGTTTACACACGCATCGGGGTTTGCCTAAAATACGAAAGTGACTTTTTTTTGACGAAAGTGAGCGAAAGTGACTTTAAAAATATGAATTATAGCGTTTTAATAGAATTTTACAATAAAATTGCAGTTTGCAGACGAATAATATTAGAAACTAATTATATTTATTATCAAAAATAATCATAATATTGATTTAATCGCCATTTATTTGCATAATTTCTATACACAAGTTCTGAGATCTTCCTTTCGCTCACATTGAAAAATACGAAAGTGACTTATAAGATATAAAAAAAAAAGCTTTTAAATTGGAATTTATGCTAATATTGCAGTTTGTAGACGTTTATCATCAGAAATTATAATTATTCATTATCAAAAATAATCTTTTTTTATTATTAAGGTTCAGCGATACTCTTTCTGCTCACACTGAAAAATACGAAAGTGACTTATAAAATATTAAATATAGCATTTTAATTGAAATTTAAAATAATTTTGCAGTTTGTAGACGTATTTGTCATAATGACTGATACAAGAGTTTACATTTGGTATAAATAAGATAACCACTGAAATGGTACCAAAATTAATATTAGAATCAACTGCGTAGAAACATCTGTACTGGTGGATACTAGTTCAAGTCTGAAATGAAGAAAACAAACACAAAGGCTTACAAAGCACTATCAATCACAGAAAAAAAAAAGAAAAAAGGAAACAGATTTACAGTATATAACCGCTGAATTTTATTCAATTAAAGGAGCATCAGACAACTTGTTATGCTCTGAAACTTCCATAGATCGATCTCGGAATTTTGATCGTGATCAAATCAGTATCAAGTGATGTGAAATATAATAAAATATTTGATAAATATAAGTCAGTGTTCTAAGGACTCGGAAAAGGAAAAGAAGCAAATAAAATTCCATATTGATGAAAAGATTGTGCCGTCTGCAGAAAAATGTCAGAAGAATCTCTATTCACATTAGTGAAAAAGAAACCAAACATCTCAAAAATCTGAATGGAATTGAAAAAGTGAACGGAGCAACGCCATGTGTTTCGAACTTGCTAGTCGCACCAAAGTCGAACGCGCTGAATATGATACGCTTGTGTTTAAGGATGAGAAAAGTCAATCAAGCATTTAAGTGAGAGAGACATGTTGTTCATACAATTGATGGCATTATTCTTGAACTTAATGGCTCAACCGTATTCTCAAAGGTGGATATCCATAAAGGCTTTCAACAACTCGAAATGTCTGAGGAATTAAAAAATGTTACAGTATTCACGTCCAATATTGGACTCTGGAGATACAAACGGTTCAACTTTGGAGTAAGTGTCGCGCCTGAAATATTTCAGAACGAAAGAAGACACGTTTAAATAAACTTAGAAGGTACGCTCAACGTTTCAGACGACACAATTATACATGGACCTAGTGAAGAAATGCACATTGCCAGACTTGAAGACCTGCTCAGTAGGTTGCAAGATAGAAACCTAACACTCAATAAGCAAAAGTGCGAGTTCGGAAAAGCATCAGTCAAGTTCTACGGATATATCTTTTTAACAGATGGCATTTTCCGGATCCAGCAAAATGCACTTCTATCAAAAAGGTAGCAAGACCGAATAATGCAGGAGAGTTAAGATCATTTTTGGGCATGACAAATAATCTGTCAAGCTCATTGAACGCTATTCATCTATAATCGCGCCCCTCCGTCAGTTGCTGAAAGAAAATGGACCGAATGACAGCAACAAGCATTCAATCAACTAAAAATGTCACTCAGCAGTGATAAGGTGATGACGTATTTTGATCCGAGCAAGCAAACACAATTATGGTTTGATGCCCAGAGGGTGTTTCCGGAATATTGATCCAGGACAACAATGTGATCGGTTACGGTAGTCGGTCGCTTTAAAAACGATATAGTCAGACGAGAAGATTATTTAGCAGGTACCCAACTATTAATTGCCCTTCGCAGAGCGTGGCAGAAGAAAGATTATGTTAAATTTATAACCAAGCAGGCGTTGCCGAAATCACTTCGCCTACCAGATATGGCTTATACTACGCAGGATGATTGCATATTTAAATGTGTGATGGACGCCTTTTCAACAAACAGGAGGAAATAGCAAAAAAGTAGGAAAACGAAGGAATTTCAATGCTACATACACTATCAAATGAACTATCTATAGTGCATACTGTGAAAGGAACTGTATCGTTACGAGATATAAGGATATGCGTTCCGCAAAATCTGCAAAGATGCGTTGTTGATTTACCTTATGAGGGTCACCAAGGAAATGTAAAATCCAAGGCGTTCTTGCGTGAAACTACCTGGTTTCCCTACATTAATAGACTTGTGGGTTATGTAGTTCAGAATTGCATACCGTGTCAGGCTGCTTCTACGAAAATAACACCTGATCCAGTAATATGCCGTTTGGAGTAAAATTTCAGTAGATTTCTGTTGTCTTTTCCCATTTGGTCATTATTTCATGGTTATAGTTGATGACTACAGCCGCTACCCCATCTTTGTCGCCAAATGTCATGTTCTAAATATAACCAGACCCTTGAATGGATTGTTTGATAACACAGACCCGAAGGATAGTTTCTACCTTTTAATGTTTACTGTACAAATGTATTATAAGAACTCACTACAAGTATCAGACAGACAGAGCATGAATTATACATAGGAGGCGAGGTTTATCATAACTGACATCAATATACTACACCTGTGTCTAGCGGAACGTTATTATCACAGTCCTGTTCGTATCATGTAATACTTTAAAGCAGCATGCCTCCAGATCCATGCTAATTTTCATGAACATTTTAAAAATGTTTCTTAAGGTAAAATATTGCAAAGTGAACAAAGATATTAATTTACACATTGCAAACGGCGCGTACAATGCACGAAATCATGAAAAGTATGTAAAAATATGCAAGTATATGCCTTAATGCGTTACTAATGCGTTCAATTTGTTCTGTGCTTAATAATAAAAAAATCTTACTTCGATACAGATTATATTTATTTATAAATATTTTCCAGATCCACTGTGGTCCAGACGCCAGACAAAAATCCACAAAGAACATCATATACTTAATTAACTTGTTAATTATCGAATTTTTGCTTGGCGGGGTCGCGGTACGAAACACGCTAATAAGCTTTATCAAACTTCGCCTCGCGTCCCTGCTAATAAGCGTGTTTTCGTCCCGCAACTCCGCCGTTTTATTTTTTAAATCTCGCTCCGCGCCTACGCGGGGCGGAATTTTATTTATCAAACTTCGCCCCGCGCCCTCGCTTATTAGCGTGTTTTCGCTCCCTCCTATTTTAACTTATTAATTTTCGACTTTTCGTTTGGCGGGGGGGGGCGGGGCGAAAACACGAAAGGCACAAATCAGCCACCATTATTTAAAACATGTAAAGATCACAAATTATAATCTCATGTAATGCAAAGCTCGTTTTTAGCATAGATACATGGGTTTCTACATTACTATAATCTTAAAAATTATGTTTGCTTAAACTAATAGTGAATAAACTGTGCGCTGATTAGATCAGACCTTGTTGACATGATAACACATTTTGTGATCGATTGTACTGCTTTAAATGAGCGGATGTTTTTATTTGTCAAATGATAAAAAGCAAACTCTCAACAAAGTATGGAATGACCCTGGTATAACATACAACTAGAAATTCATAAATGTATCAATATTTCAAAACCAGATGTTTAGATGTTTCAAAACTAAATAGAACGGTCTGCTATCAATTAAGGTTTAACTCAAAAAAGTAATGTTAAGTTACCCGAGTACATAAAAAAATGATAGTGTTTTAGTGGCAATTAACCATATTGCTATTGCCATGATTGTTAAATTTGAGTACACACCGTTTGGGTTTTGTTATAACGTGTATTGCTTACTCTCTTATCTGCTCGACTTTGTACTGTTAAAACTTATTTTACGCCCCTTCTTACGAAGTTTGAAAAGATTCATCTTTAACAGATAAGTGCAAGGTTAGTATCTGATTTATTTATGTGAATATTATGTATTTATATTGATTGTGTGATTAAATTGTTCGCCTTTCGACTACTTTATTGAATTATAAATAATGTTCTAAATGCCTTTATTCAAATAAAGCTGTTCAATCACTTATCTAACTGACAAATTACATTATCAAAATTTATTTTCTCTGTACTAAGATAAAGGAGGTTTTTCACGATTTTATAAGCCACATGCAAATATATGTCAATATGACTGAAATTTATGGCGTTATTATATTTTAACTGCCTTATTATAGAAGTATTGGTAATTATGAAAACCCGTTTCAATCGATGCCGTTTCATCAATTTTAGATTTAAAAAACGAATGTTATTATTGAGGATTTACACATTTCTTTTCAGAATCATCGGTTAAGATATAACCCATTAAACGATATTTTGCACATAAATAGCAAAACGTCATCACTTTAAAATAGTATTATAATTGGAATAAGTAAATAAGTAAGTTAGTAAGTAAGTAAGTATGTAAGTAAGTAAGTAAGTAAGTTAGTTAGTAAGTAAGTAGGTAAGAAAATACAAAAGTAAGTCAAGTGAAGTAAGTTGTTTATAATGGTGACATATGAAATATATTACGCATGTACAATAATATAGACGTATTGAAAGCATCCGCCCTAATAGACCTATAAGTCACCAAATCCTAGACATCATAAGCAATTCAGGTACTGATCAATGTTATGACAACATAGATTGTAAAAAATAGAGATTTTTAGTTAGACGAACATAGATATGTTTAAAGAAGAATCATGTTATTTTATGCAGATATTAATAATCAATATATTTTGATGATTTTCGCGGATAATAGTTTAACAGATATGCAAACTAACCTACAAGATGCATGTAAAGAAATGTATTCATTCTAAATATGGGTATTTGGAAATGCAACTTGTAGATTTGAATAGGCTAGGATCCGATTCATGAAAGCCTTACACAAATAATATATCAGAACACTCCTATTATAACGCTTTAATTATATAAGCAGACAAATGTTTGCAACATTTCGCCGTGTTATTGCTATAGCGTCAGCAATGTAATTTTGGATCACACCCGGTTGTAATAAAGACCTTTTTTCTGCCGAACCGTGCATGTGCCTGTGATATGTACATGAAATGGAGAAACGTATTAAATAATCTAAAATAAAAAAAATTACGTTGGGCTAGTATTCGGTCTTCTTGATTAAAGGGGTAAGACCGATTACTTTGGAACACTCTTGTATCGATCAACTATTGTCTTCGCAGCACAATCCATTTATCAAAGCAAAGTATATTGAATAGTTTAGGCATATTTAACCCCAGCAATTAACAATTTGTTCCATTGGTTATTGATTTATGCTTAACATTATGAAAAGAAGCGTTAACTGTGACATCAAAATCATGCGAAATCCACTGGTTGGTTCCATATATTTATCGTAGGAAGGAGTACCTATCACGATAGGTAGATTGCATTCAACATCTTTCCATTCTTCCAACTGTAACAGAAACAAAACCTGTCGATGCAAGCTATTCTTTAAACAGTTGAATATCTTTAAAAGACGTTTTAAGTCAATGTCATTTACATACCGTTTAAATATCTTAATACGGACAATTACTATAATAATAGATAAAGGCTGAATAATGTTAAATTTTATCTTATAAGCTCAAATTGGTTTAAACATTCGGAACATGATTATATCAAGCTTAAACAATAACTTACTCTCTTGTGTACGAAGGCGCACGAAAGTCCGGACTCTCTTCATGTGTTCTGTTATGTTTCACATCTTAGATTATATAAACGAGACCTTGTGTACTATCTTATAATCCTTGAAAAAATGTGTGATAAGATTCGCTAGTTTTAATCACATTGAATTCATTATCTTACTCGATTTGATCAAGTAGCTGTGTGTAGGTCATTTATTATCATACTACCTCCGTAAAACAAAGTACCTTAGTACTGAATTGAACAACAACAAAAGATTTTTTTTAAGAATTAATAAAAAAGTGATTTCGTAAATATATCTTTTCATTTTGATATTCTGTTATCAATGTTAACACTATTTTTTAATTTCTGTTTGCTGTATTGACCTTTTATTAAAAGAAATAATTTGCTACATACTAGGGAATGCATCGGACATTAAGGTGTAGCTTAATCCGTGAGTCTCATAATCAGTTTCCCTCCTCGATGATTCAGATTTTACGTTGTTTTCACCGATGTATTATATATCACGTTGATTCTGCAATAGTATATAATTAATAGTCGGTAGCTTTCAGAGAACTTGGTAATAACTTGTTTCTTAGATGGAAACCCTCTTAGGTAAACCACATGCCAAGATATTGTAAAAAAGTGTTTTAAAAAATAAAAAATTTGGAAAAGAGAAGAAAATAAAACATGCATATAAACCAATAAGGAAAAATGTAATCTATTTCGGTATCTTAAATTGAATTGACAAAAATATGTAACACATTATATTATTAACGGAATTCCTTATAATGTGATTTTTATGTCAAAAGAAAAACATTTAAAACATTAAAACGTAGACAATAAATGAATTACTGATACAATTGCTATTGATTTAAGCAAAATGATTATATTCAATGGCAGATGACTCAAAAACATTTAAATCATGTTGTCATTTGCTTTTCTGTATTTGGTTTGATATTGTTGTTGTTGTTGTGTTTTTTTTTACGAAAAAAACCGACTTTTACAACATTTTGATATAATTTCAAATTTATTAAAATAGATTGAGAAGAAGATGTATCAATTTTACATTTTCACGGGATAGATGGGGTAGATGTTATTGTATAAGGCGGATCGTAATTTTGAAATCGTGCACAAAAATATTATAACATGAACATGTTTTGATACTTGTACGATATGACTTTGAGAGTAAGTAACCTAAATGTCGTTATCTTTTTTACTACTTGAATGATGTAAGATGTTTTATGCCTTTAAATTTATAACAATTTTTTGCTCTGTAGGAATGTCATGAAGCTTCATGACAGTTGTAAATGTAAGGTGGTGAAAATGTTTTACAAATAATAATGTTTTACATGTAATAAGTTTTTCTCATAGAGATATAGGTTTTGATTGGATATTTAACTTTATTTTGTTAAAAACTGATTTACTGACATTCAGTGATATCATGTCAAACTTATATTAGTTATATTATTTTGATATGTACCAATATTTGGTGTGTAGTATCATTGAGTACTTTGACTTATGCTGCATAAATGTTGATTGTCTTTAATATATTAACTGATAATGAAATAAATCGTTTATACTTTCAGGTCAGGTCTTGACAAACAACATAATGATTGTAAATCTGATGCTTTTTAGTCAGTGTATTCTGATCATAACAGTGACTGGTGCCTTTTGTGCAGACATAGAACCTACCCGGTAATAAATTATGCAAGTACAATACAAATACCTAAATGACCGAAATATTCACAACATAATATCACAAGATGATAATACATAATACATTAATGTTATCATGTTTGGATGACTAATCAACGTAAACTCCTTTGAGTTTTTGCATTTTGCTTCATGTATGTCATCTAACAATAACATTTTATTGCTGAACTGTCCTGACATGACACATCTGCAGTAAGCATTTGATAAATTATTTTATTCGAACAACAAATTGTCTTTAAACGACACTTTATTTATAAAAAAGACTCTCTAATGATGGATTGCCAACATATTTATTTATAAGTCACACAGTGGACATCACTGTTGGTCACGCATAGCCGGAAAATTTGAATTGTACTTTTCCAATAATTATCTAACTTCAACAATTTCTTCAAGCTCGCTGGTATGTTCATGCAAAGTACAAGTGATATATACATTAACGAAAATCCTTGATTTTCAGATGTGAAAATTCTAATTTCACATAGCATTTTACACAAACTTTACCATTAATATATATTTCCTAAGTATTGATTTTTTCTTATACCAACCCAAATACATATGAAGTTTTTAAATGTCATTGGTGGTCAGCTTTAGCTTAACTGCCCTCATAGCAGCAGGAGTATCAAATTGTTAAGTATTTCTATTAAACGTAACACATGTTAGCCTGATGTTTTGAAAGCCAAATAGCTTAGGCGTTATTGCGACCGCACTAAAGCATGGCAGTATGGCGGTGCAATCAAATTAGATGCATATGGGAATAACGCAGGCATTAAAGATAAATGCAAATACAAATTATGTGATTATTTCTATAGCTAATTTGCAGCTCGAACCATAAATTTAAATGAAATAAAGTACCTCAGATTGAAAAGGACCACACATGTTCACTTCAGGAATGATCTTATGCGTTATCTGTTGGAAGAAGCAGAGTATGATCATAACTTTCCACCAAGCACAGGTACTTTCCTGCATATTAACTTTTATTTTAATCATGAACTCTTTAAGATTTCATTTTCCAATTCTTAAATTTGAATAATGTGATCCTTTACATAAGGGTTTCCTTACTAATAAGACAACATTTTTGCATTATTTATTTTAATTTAATCAAACACAGTAACAATATTATATTAGATAACTATTCACTTACTTTACAGAAAATGTTACAGATGTTTCTGTTCAACTTTACATCACTGATTTTAACTCTGAGAGTGATAAGGACAGGGTGTGTATATCATTGTATTATCTCATTGTTATGCGATCTTTACGTACATTTGATATGATTATGTGCAAACAAAACAAATTAATATTACATAACGACTAGATCGCCTCTTTCTTTAAATTGTTCTTCCTCTCCCTCCAACACCGTGGTTTCAGTTTAAATCTACAATCTACAAATGGTTAGTACTAATATGGTATGTAGTATTTTGTTATTATAGATGTACAAAATAGCATCTGGAGCTTCTTTTGTCAGTTTCAAACTACGATAAACATCTACCAGTGAATCCTACATGACTAAAAATCAATATTATCATTTCTGAGAAATCCTGAGCTATATTCTGGAAATTGTGTTGATTATGACTCTAACAGTTTTAAAAATGTCAACAGTTACTAGTTATGAATAAGTAATGCAGGCTACGGCCGTTTTAGCGCAATCTACATTCTAGAATGTTTGAGCTTATAAAACATCTCTTTAAAGGCAATATTTTGATACTGCTATACATAAAGGGAAAACATGACCTTATTGCATATGTTTTTACTATGATTAGTAAATTGAAAATAAAGATGCATCATAACTGCATCACAAAAAATGGCTATCGAGAGGACGTGTTTTATGAACATAAGAAAGCAGATGGTTCCGAGAACCAGTCTGAAAAAAAAAAATGCTGCGGAACATATGCAATAAACAGGTCATTATATAGGGCGAGTGTGCCTGAAGTCAATATTGGAACACTTGCCCTCTGGCAATTAAGTCACCAAGTGTGCCAATATGGACTAAAGGCACACTTGCCCCATGTAATAACATCTACTTATTTATCTGTAGGTTGAGACAATTTGATAGAATAGATTTTACGCATATAATAAAAATGTTATAAATCTAAAACATTTTGACATTTTGAGTGTGTCTATTTCCCTTACTTTTGATATGGTTGGTGTGTATAACACATGCATCTAAAACATTCAAAGATAATGTGTCTACAATTTGATACACAATTTGAAAAATCGACATATATAAATAGCAATGTATCATTTAAAAATTCTCAAAAAAAGAATTAAATAAAATGTTTAAACAAATTAATAAAGTTGTAGTTATTCTGTGTGATAATAATTTAATAATTTGTTTAAAAAAACAAATTGTATTTTATTTGAGAATTTTTTTCATTATTCTTGACAATACACTTAAATACCATGTGTGACAGATTACAGCAAAAAGGTGCGTACTGTTATATTTGTATAATAGACAAAGTAACTACAACAATAAAACAGCTGAAAATTTTCCTTGGTCACATTGGATTTCATTTTTAGATATAAACATCTGATAATCTTATCAACTGGTATCTTATTTTATGTTAGTATACATAAATGTAATGCTATTTTGATATTTTTGAAGGAAATTGAGTTTACACTCTACCTACGAATAAATTGGACAGATCCCCGGCTAGATTTTACAAGAAATAAAACAACATACGACGTTATAAACTTTGGAGATGATATGGTTAAAAATCTTTGGATACCTGACTTATACTTTCTCAATGAAAGACAGTCACGTTTACATGGTTTGTTTGAAAGAAACCAGCTGGCATACATTTACAAAAATGGAAGCGTTTTCTACAGTGGCAGGTATGACATCTAGTTATATAGCAGCCGGGTTTCTTTTTGCCACGCAAATTCTAGGTGATTCAACCAATATTCTACGCACTTTAATTGTAATATTGGATAGATTTTAAAGTTAACATACTTCCTTTTTATTTATTTTTTCTTGTGGCGAGATATGACAAAAAATATGTTAAGCTTGTCAATATTTCAAACAATCAATCAATTAATTCCTCAATTAATCAATAAATCAATCAATCAATCAACATCATCATTATCATAATCATCATCATCAAAGTATCAGTGCTTCGTGAGAAGTATTAACATTTTCTTATCTTGCAACCGTCGATTCTTATCATGATATTAATCATCATTTTTTATGCAGATAATGTCTTATAACTACATAACTAGAGGTGACTTTAATTGTATATACCGTTCAAAGTATTAACTAGTCTACTTGTTATAAACACGACTGGTTTTCTAAAAGTAACAGTCGAATATGAATCGGTATGAGTGTTATTTCGTTTACTTTCGTTTATCCGTAATTTCTCTACCCTAGACAAGGATTGAAACAAATGGAATAAAATGTTTGCATGCGATATTTGTTATCTTGATCATTAAGGTGATTCCGCTTGGTCAGTCATGCTTGTTTTCACTAAGTGGGTCCAAAGTGAAAGTAGGCCAAAATACATATATTAACAACAAAGCTCAAAATGTAAAATGAGGAAACATTTGAAAGTACACTTCAATGTCTATGTTTTAAGGACTATTATAAACAAAAATATAAAATGATAACAATAAGAATATTTACCTTGAATGTGCTTCATTTCTTCTACAACTTCTTTTCTTTGATTTTAAGTTTTTGCAAGTTTTTGGGTCATGCTGCAAAAAAGCATTTGTCTGCTCTAAAACTGACTTAAAACTGGATATTAACATTCATGAAATGTGCATAAAACTGTGCAACATATTGTGTTTAGTCTCAGAAATGTAGCACATTCAAAGTAATTATTCTTATTGTTGTCAGGATTCATTGAGGAAAGTCAAAAAAAATTAATGTGTGTTCGCAAAATAGAAATTATGTATTTATAAATATAATTATAAACGTAATGCATTTTTCTTATTGTCAGTTGTAAGCTGTGTTTGAACTGACATCTGTATTAACATTTAAAGGGAACCGTCATTTTATTATTTATAAGGCGGATTTTTTTTCTGTGGACTGCCTAGTGTATTCATTTGATGACATACATAGACTAATGAATAAACAATTCAAAGGGAAGAAATAAAGATTGTGTCTGTGTCTCCCTCCCTTTAAATGTACACTTAAAGGCCAATGTGCATTAAAATGCTATAATTTTTATTTCTCAATTGTTGTGTTTTTGTATCTTGTAACAGTTTCCAAAACTAACTCATTTGCCACATAGATGAATTCCTTTGATAGCATCACTATATGCTAAATGCCTCTTGGTCTTTTCAATCTTCTGACCGTGCCGACCTCGATAAGAAATAATTCCAATGGCAAGCACCTCTAAATCAAGTACAATCCTGTTCATGTGTTATAATCAAACGGATAATGTAGACATCAAAGTGCAAATACAGATGCTTATTTTATAGAAGTGACCACGTAAGACAGTTTTATATTACATTATGTTGCACAGTTTGCATATAAAAATTCACAGCAGGTTAACAATTTTATAGAAAGAAAGCAGAAATCTACAAAAGAACATTTTCAAAACACATTTCATAAGTTTGGTGGACATATTTTAACAATGGTCAGTACTTTTTTTTTTTTTTTTGAAAAAAAAAAATGTCATAAGCTGTTAATAAATTACAGTCGATTCTTGTTATCTCGAAGTCATCGGGACCGTCCAAAAATATCGAGATAACGAAATGTCGAGATAAACATATTAGGGTTTGAATAAGGCAGAAACTGATTTTTACAAAAGACATGTGCATACCTTATGTCAAATAGAATATGATGTCCCCATGTCTTGTTTTCATAGGCCTAGTCAATATTTAACAAAGTAACATTAGCGGATGTTAACCAGCGGTTTCTGTGATAAAAACACATAGTGAGGTTTACTCAGTAATACACCAATATAGTGAAAACATTGTTTTCAGGGTGGTTGATCCGGATATCCTTCCGGATTAATTATCTAGTCTTTCTCGATGTTGTTCGACCGCTGATTGATTTTGTGGTGATGTTGTGAAACAATATTGCAATGATAGCGTTTCTATACTTTCACTATTTCATTTACATTTAAAGTCATAATGAATTGATACAGTGTTCGAATATTTATAAAGAACGTAAAATTCACTCATTTTGGACATAAGTCAATCATGACGCTAAATAGATTAACTTTTATAAAAACAGCTAAACATGATACAAACATAATCATCATTATGACATGCGCTATTGAGCAATTATCGTCTAGTTTGTGTTTTTCACACGTCTGAAGAGAACAGACGATAGAAAACTATTAGTCGAGATAAACAAAGGATAATAGTGTGAAAATAACTGTTGGGGCTGAAATTGTACATCGAGATACTGAAAATATCGAAATAAAAATATCGAGATAAACAAATATTTCCAAAATAGATAAGGAAGAAAATCGGGACTTTCAAAATTTCATCGAGATAACGAAATATCGAGAAAAGCGATGTCGAGATAACGATAGTTGACTGTAAATGATAACTACATTTTGTTGATAAGAAATTTCCAAAATAACTGTTTCATACCGAAAGAATTATCATTGAAACAATATTTCAGATCTATAAAACGGAACATCATTATACTGTATTTTATTTTGGTGTGTCATACTTATGTTTTGACTGTCTACATCCCAATTTTGCACATAAATAGATGTTAACACTGACAGGCGAAACAATCATTTTTATTTTGAACATTGTTTGAAGAAAAAGGTGAATAGCCCTCTTATATGAATGAACTGCTAAGTTACTGCTTTTGTCCGTACAATTGGTACAACAAAAGTGTACAGTCATAATGAAATTGTCACACTTACATGTTTTACTGATATACAATTTGTTGATGTTGTGCAATTTCTTGGCAACACTTGATCTCTTAATATATGAGCATCATCAAACACTAAATAATTCATTTCAAGTTCACTTCATCAATCCTGGCTACTATTCCTGAACTAAAATTATAAAATATTATTTATTTAAGTTATTCCGGCCATATGATTTAACTGTTTCTGATCTTTTGCAGTCATAAAGAAAGGAAAGTTGTGTACTGAATTTAAGCAATATTTTGTCATTAAAAATTAATATTGTAAATTAAGAAAATTTATAAAGATCGGTCTAGCGGCTAGTAAGCTAATCCAAGCATATGGCCACAACAAATGTCATAAAATATAAACTGATTAAATATAAAATATTACTTGAGAAATGCTTTTAGGGGTTATTTTAATGATTCACAGTTAAAACAATATTGTATCATCAGAACAAGATCTATTCAATTTTTAAGATAAATTAAAAGATTTGTTTTCTAAACATTTGTTCAAAACTTCATTATTTCTACATCTACCACGTCCCTGACCATTCTCTTCCCCGACTCAGATCCAATGCTCAAGTGTTATATTTGGATTCCCCATTTGGGCCTCAGTATCAAAGATTTTTCAAGGTTTTTTACAAGTATTGATTTTACTTTCCTCTCTCTATTCCTGCAGACAAATTATTCGTTTAACTTAGAACCTATGAACAGTTATAGGTCTTTTAATAATTTGGAATAAATATCGGAAACCACTAACTATGTCGCTCATTTCCCTGTGACTAGTTGCCATCTTTGTTTTGGTGTTATGGAAAAATCCTGGATGACGCGTATGACGTAAACTAGCCTCATAAATATTAATTTATTCATGTTTCGATCAGATTCAATGAAATATCGTCTGTAGCTCTTCATTGATATTTGTGGGTTAAAATTAACGAAAGGAATATTAAAATGAAACATTTTCTGTCAAGTGTTTCTTGATTAAAATGTCCTCATTGTCACTTGGTGACAAATGACAAAACATACAGCATTTGAGTTCTTGAAAAGCCAGAAGTATGTGTTTGAATAAAATTTAATACGCTTTATGCGTTTTTAGTTTTTTAGAATATATTGATTAGGGATGATATTCTTGCCGATAAAATACCGAACACCTGTAACAAAGGCCAAATTACTATTGAAATTTTACAAAAGTAATGAAGATAGAAAATGAAACGTTTTTTTTTCGAAACAAATTTAGTATTACAACACTTTAAGATAGGTTTAACTTTTCTAAAGCACGTATAGGTTTTTATTCGCCAAAAGTTTGAGTGGCAAAAAGCAATCTGCAGCTATTCTAAATTAAACAGAAATCGCTGAAAGAAACACACATTAGTGAAAATAATGTTAAATAACTTGTTTAAACCATTCTTTGAAACTAACATGTAAAATTGTTTAAATTAATGACACTTTTAATAATTTCAGCTAAAATTTAAAATTTGAAAATAATTATAACAACAATAAGGATTTGTTACGAAGACAAACAAATTAATTATTTGACCAGCAAAGTATGTGTGCTCTTTTGGTAGTATCGTATGGAAACATAATTATGATTTATATTGTAGGTTTAACATTAAGTTACACTGTGTTATGACCTTTGAGAAGTACCCATTCGACACTCAAAAATGCCCAATAGAAATTCAAAGCTGTAAGTATTTCTTTTCATTTCACGTTGATAAAGGGGGAAAAATGTGCTGAATAGGTTTTTAATTAATGAAAATACTTGGTTATATTAGGAATGGATATCTTTGTAGATAAATATTAGTCAATTTAACGGTGAAATGATTTTTTTCTCAGTATGATCAAAACAATTATTTTTTATAGATGCTTATTCGACAGACTATGTACTTCTTCACTGGAATGGAGACCATGCCGTACAAATTGACCCTTCGGCTGATCCATTTCAACCTAAAATACCGTTACAGGACCAAAGCGTTGAGACAAGATATACGTACCCAATAAGTAATATATTTGGCAGATATTTCCTAGTTACTATTTCAATTTAAATATTTCATCAGGTTTTTGCATGAAGTCAGTTGTTGTTATGCAGCTACCGTTGTGCATTTTTTAAAATCAACATTTCATAACAACTAACGATTTCTTTACCCGTATGTAGCTACTTTTTTATTTCTATCTTTAATAAAAACCCGTACTGTTTTGAGCAGAACGTCCCTGAAAAAAGTTATGTATTTATGTTGACTTTTCCTGCATTTTTTTTCTTCTTTCAATTCACGGAAATGTTTCTTGTTTTCTTTATGTTTCTTTTGACAAAATCTGTTGTACGACCGATTATTTCTATTGAAGCTGGAGAATTTTCAACACTAAGAACAGAAATACAAATACCACGTCCAAAAGGATCGTATATCATGATGATTATAATACCTTCAATCATTCTTGTTGTAACAGCGCTTACCTCTTTTCTCCTTCGAAACAATATAACTTCACGTATAGGTGTTCCTACGGGTACTTTGATCTCGATGTTTGTACAGTGGTCAGGAACATACGGTAGACTATCACTTGACTCAACGTCGATGTTTTTGGATATATTGATGGTTGGAAACTTATCTTTTCTCGGGTCCATTCTTATAATAAATGCCTGGATATGTCATTATAGATACAATGAGGTACGGATTATAATTACGTGTAGTAGAGTCATGGGAAATATACAATACTATTTGTCTATGTTAAAAAAACAGTTAATATTGTTGTCTTGTATACCTGATATTATTTGAGCAAGGGTAGTGTATTTTGACGTAATATTTTACATTAATTTTATTCAATGTTTAAATGCAATAACCACAAAGCTATTTGAAGCCCGCGATTCTGTTCCTTGATTCATGTTTTAGTTGTTGCTGTAAATTAAAGGCGCAAACACGAGTACCTTTAATTTACATCTAACTCATGCATTACCGCTCATGTCAAAATACAAAACTAAATGTCGGTCTATAAATTATTTGTTTAACCAATTAAGTGAAAATAAGACATAATATCGATCAGTTTTTTGCTTCAAAGCATGCTCTTAGCTAAATGTTTCGTTCTTTTTTGGCTAATACATTCCCGATATCATAATATTTATTTTTCTTGTTGGTTTTTCCTTAATTAATGCAGAATTAAAAGGAACATGTGAACTATTATCTCAACATCTTTTAGTCAGTGTCTCTTTATTGTTGACAAACACAAAAAGGGAGACGAAACATATGATGAACGGTGTAAATGCTTACCCAATGCTAAGCAGATACAAAAACTTTATAAATGTACTTTTATTATTATTCATATGAAAAATATTATACTATATATATTATACTATATAGTTTCTATTTTTAAAATATTGACTTGTTTATCCTTACGAGTAAGTAGTACACTTTGAGTCAAGCGTGTTCTTAGCTTACTATCATATTTACTACAAAGATTGAAGTCTAACCGAAGTTTGACCTTTTAATGAGAGCAATTAAGAAATAGATTCTAGAATTTCATAAAATAACATTCACATTACTGTTTGTTAATGCTCAACGATCTCTTCAAATATCATTCAGCAATTCATGTGACTTTTTGAAAGAAATTGGATTACCTATAACAGAGAACAATATTAAATTCATCCAGACTCATTAGATATATCACTGTGTGAATCAAAGCCATGAAAGCAAAGACGAAATAGAAAAAAAAATTGACACTGAATGTGCCATTATTTATTTAGTAAGTCGTTTATCCCCATACCATAATTTAATGTATATTACTTAATACTCGATTAAAACGTTGGAGATCATGTCTCGACAATCATTTTTTGGTATTTACTTAAACTTTGTTGATTATTGGGTTATGATAATGGTCACAGCCAAGAGGTTATGAGATTGGAATATAGCCTACATTTAACTCACTTGCGATATTACCGCCAAAGCTAATAGTCATACTAATTGACCTTCCAGTGTTGAAATATCGCCACTTGGTTAAATGTCATTGCAACTGAAAGAAATACCTTTGCTCTAGGAAATTGAATTGAATCCATTATTTAATTCTAATATAATATATAGAATGATTAAAACAAAGTTAACATATTAAAATGATATTGTTGATTAGTTGGAACATTACCATCGAAATATAACCGTTTATAATATTTTGTTTTCATGACAAAGTCATCATCCATAAATGGAAATCAAAAGGAGGAAACAACCATAAATGGAAATCAAAAGGAGGAAACAACCATAAATGGAAATCAAAAGGAGGAAACAACCATAAATGGAAATCAAAAGGAGGAAACAACCATAAATGGAAATCAAACGGAGGAAACATATCCTCTTTTGCACACGAACGACAAATCGACAGGTGATGCAGATATGAATCAGGTACATATAATATGATTTTTTATGTAATCTTTCTTCATATAATGATATATTGGAAATTATATTTGAATTTAACTTTAAATTGGTGTTGTTTTTTTTGCGATTTCTAGTTCTGTTGAAGTGTTTTTTGTCCAACCAATATTTTTTCACTTGAAATTTTACAAATGTTTATTGTCTACAGCATCATTATTCAAATTCTAGAGTTGACTCTCGCAAAAGCATGTCATTGTCCTGAAAGTGTCCTTTTCGCAAACTGGGTATTTCATAGGATATTGAATACCTTTCTAAACCAGAGAACGGACAAATTACTCGTGGATTCGGAAGCTCTTGTTATTTGATGTTAAAAGGGAAAAAAATCTTTATAACATTGATTTGGTTTTAACAAGAACACTTCCAATATGTTTGTATGTAATAGATATGTTTGTCAATTACCTTAAAACGTGAAAGGCACATGCAAGCAATCATTTCTAAACGGATGAAACTCTGCTTTAAATATTATATTATACTAAAAATTTAGTAAGAGACTTGATGTTTATACTAAAAAGAGCTTAATTTTAGGACCGACATTTTTTGCTTGTGAAATGAAGTCTTAATTCCAAAGTTTTATTAAAATGATTAGATAACTATGTTTCAGGAGCTTGCATTTTAAGTATATGAAATAATCATTTACATTTATAAGGATATTTTGGTCCGGTTTCATCTTTTTTGATGTAAGTGACAAATGTCTAATATGTAACAACTTTTTCTACAGTTAACCATCAAGTTATGGAATATATATATATTTTATTAAACAACTGCACCCAATTGTATAAACGTTGGTTAAATTAACCATGGGTTAAACGCTAACCGTGGGTAAAATTTAACCAACTTTGGTTAAATAACCAATCTGGTTAGTCACTTGTTTAATCCGAGATAACCAAAGGTTAACAAATCAAAATGGTTAAAATTAACCGCTCGATAAACTAACCAATACAATTCCCGACATGCAATAAATTCTATATCCGGTTATCTTATTTTCGCGGAATATGTCAAAATTGACACATGGTTTACGCTTCCATCTTTATTACAATCGAAGATTTTGATACAGTAGGGTGAACGTTTCGGTTGTCAAAAATAGCGTTTTTCGTGCGTCCGTTTTTCGTGTAACGTGCGTGCGTATAGCGTGCAACGTGCGTTTGCTGAAACGCTTTCTCAAGCGTGCATCGTTTACAAGCGTTTAACGTTTATCGTTTTCCGTGTATCGTTTTTCGTTTATCGTGCGTCTGAAAGCGTGCGTTTCTTATTCCCAGAAACGTAGAGCGTGCGTCTGCGTTCGTCAAAGCGCTTAAGTACGGTGTTTTGCGTCTGTTACTATTGAGAAGTAAAATAATATCTTAGATAGATATATTATGTAAATTTGGTGTTTCTTAAACATGTAAGAGATGTTCTGTGTCCCTATAAAAGAATAGAAATATTATATAAAGAAGTATTATTGTGATATTTACATTAAAGATTTAAAGTTTGTGACCTCGCGGTGAATACTGGTCAGATTTCTACATGCTTTACGCCGAAGATTAATTAGTTTTAATCCTATTTTACATACGCATAAGATATAATTACTAATTAATTGCAACATTTTTGATATTCAATTCAGCAACCAGGTGTTTATATGCGTACCAATATATATTAGATATGAGGTTCGTCTGACATCAAATGATGGTAATCAGACTAGCACCCCACCCCCTTTACAAGTTCATCTTCTGACTTTTCATCAAAGACTGTCCGAATCCTATCCGAATACTATTTAGGGTGATAATTATTTTAGACAGTTCCTTCCTATTTTTCTTGACAGATTTATATTGATATGTAACAGCCTGGCAGGGACTCGAACCCCTGACACTCGGAATACGATTCCGCGGCTCTTGAGTTCCTCTGAGCTATTCGGCCGCTTACACGTTTTACTTGTTTAAATACTGAATAGTTATAAACCTACTCAGTATTTAAACAAGTAAAACGTGTAAGCGGCCGAATGTGACTGTGTATGCAAATATTTCTTCGAATTTCCCAGGGTTACTTAGCATTGTGAATTAATTTCTAGCTGGGCTATACAAATGTTTGTCAGTCACAGGGTGAGAAAAAAGTGCATCCTGACATGGACTCGAACCCGTGACCCTCTAAATACCGTACCGCAGCTGTACCGACATTTGTTAATAGTTTCATTATTTGTACATGAAAAGTGAGCATTTTAATAATTATAAATTGTACATTGTACTATTTCTATATTTTTGTACAAATAAAAATAGCTAGATATTTTTCTAGATAAAAAATTCTATGGTGGCTAAAATATACCATGTTGTACTTTTTAGACATGTAATCACAACAGACAGGCTAAGCCACCCTTTACAAAATTCCCCTATCTGTCAGCTCATAATCAAGGCATAGACTACTATTTTTGTATGTGGCCTGGGCTTTTACTGTTCACTTACAAACCGTATAACACTGATAGCCAACAGATGCGCAGGCTGGTCTGGATCCATGCTGGTCGCAAACCCATTATGTTGGTTTTATCGTGACGCGGCTCAAATATATCTTAATCTTATATGAGGTCCATAATATAACCCACTTTGATAAACATATATAGCTTTCTTGATTTTTATTCTGTATATTATCTAAAATCACTTTTAAGGTTTATCAATCCGTAATCATTACTTAACATAATACCCCTTCGAGATACCCGAGATGAGCCTGTGTCGCCCTTTGCTAACTTAAAAGTATATAACCTATCCATATATAACCATATAATTCTTTGAAGATTTTTCTCAGCTGAGTAAGATAGGTATGCTGTAGTCCCAAGTCACTTGTTTAACTTCCCTCAAGTAAGTTATAAACCTCATAACTGATAAAATTCTAACTATAATATACTTAAATATCACCTATGTATTTATATAAATTTACAAAAACCCATTTTGCATACTAATATATCTTTTGGGACCTGTACAATTTCAATTGATTGTAATTTTAATTTTCCTACAATATCAATTTTATGCTTCATAGGTAGGTCAGTTCATTAAAAAGAGCATAATACAAGATCCCTATGAAAAGTAATGTAATTGATAACTCAATCCAAATAAACTTTATTAATTAAAAGCTTTAATTAGATGACTTAAAAAAGAAGATTTCAATAATTGTCCAGGAAAAATATAAATGTTATAGTAAATTCTATGTGGACCCCAACTATTAAAGAAAGCAGTGCCACATAAAATGTTGATACACCGGGTAATTTTACCTTAAACTTAACCTCTTAGGAAATGATACAGAATTTTTTTATATAACATAAATCTATTATATTAATTAACAAACATATCTAATTGACTAAAATAAGGTAGTCCTAACAAATTTCATTACAAAATATGAGAATTATGGCAAATCTCCTAAGATGCCTAAATGTCCAAGATAATGCACTAAATCACTACAAAATATGAAAATTTTACCTAATTATAAGAGCCTTGGAAATTAAACAAAGCTACAAGAGGAACATTAATCTATCATATTAATTAACAAACGTATCTAATTGACTATAGTAAGGAAGTCCCACCAAATTTCATTACAAAATATAAGTTATTGCAAATTTCCTAAGATACCTTACTGTCTTAAGATAGAACACCAATTCACTACAAAATGGGGATTTTTACCTTATTATAACAGCCTAGGAAATGAAACAGAATTATAAGTGCAACATAAATCTATTATATTAATTAACAAGCATATCTAATTGATTAAAATAAGAATATCTCAATAAATTACATTGAATATTCAAAAAATTATGGCTTATTTCCTATGATGTATAACTATACAAGCTTACACACTAATTCATTAAAAATGGGAGTAATATTACCTGATTATAACCTCATGGTAAATGAATCAAAGTTATATAAGCAACATAGTATTATTATATTAAGTTATACCTACATCAAATTGACTTATATAAGAAAATCCCAACAAATTTCATTGAAAATTAAGAAATAATGGCTAATTTTCTATAATGCCTTATTAATAACTTTACCACACTAAATCATTGAAAATTTGGGTAAGTTTACCTCAAGTTATAACCTTCTGGTCACTGAAACAAAGTAAGTAAAGCCAAATAATGTTATACTATCAAGTAACTACTACATCTAATTGACTAAAATAAGAAAACCCCATTGAATTATATTGACAATGAAGAAAGATAGGGTAAATTTTCTATGATGCCTATTTGTTCAAGCAAATACATTACATCTTTAAAAATGGGGGTAATTTTACCTTATTATAACCTCCTAGGAAATGAAACCAAGTTAGTAAGGCAACATATTACTATATATTGAGTAACAATTACATCTGTTTGATTGATATGGAAAAAAATCCACCAAATTTCATTGAAAAATAAAAAAAGGTATGGCAAATGTCCTATAATGCAGACAGAGGTGTTCAGATCCACTATCCCATTACTGGCATGGTATATGGAATCACAAAAAAGATACTGTAAAACTGATTTTTTCATTTTTACAGCTCAGAACTGTTCACTATTGAGGGGAGAAGATGTGCAAGCAGACTGATAGCTTAGCCGGTAGTCAGCTTCGACACTTTATTCAAGGGGTCCCTGGCTCAAGTCCCAGTCAGGCTGCATATTTTTCTCACCCTTTGACATTTGACTCCCAACAGTTAGTAATAAAACAATGTGAAATTGGCCTTGAAGTTTCATACCATCACCAATTCCAAAGGGGACTGTGATGGATGGTGTAAAACTCAAAGTCCTATTTCACATTGTTCCCTGTACCCATTCAAGGACGAATTTCAATAAAGCAGGGGAATATGTAATGGTTCCGAACTGTTCACTATATAGGGAGATGATGCGTAAGCAGCCTAATACAATATAGTTCTGTCGGTTGAGTGGCGGAACGGTATTCCAAGGGCCCCGGGTTAAAGTCCTGGTGAGGCAGCACCTTTCTTTTTTAACTTATGACAGTAACAAAAAAGGAAGGTAT